TTTATTAGCATCAATTGTTCTATAAATTTCTTAGAGAATTCAGCCATGAATCCATCAGGACCTGGGCTTTTCTTTGTTGGTAAGTTTTTAATTATGTTTTCAACTTCAATAGCTGGTATTGGGTTATTGCTATATCTTCTTGGTTGAGCTTTGGTAGTTTATATGTTTCTAGAAATCTTTCCATTTCCTCTGTGTTTTCCACACTATGTGAGTAGAGATTTTCAAAGTAGATATTCCTTATCTTTTGAATTTCAGTGGGATCTGTAGTGATTTCCCCTTTTCAGTCCTTATTGCATGAATTTGGGCTTCTTTCTTTTTCTTTTAGCTAGAGGTTTGCCAACTTTGTTTCTTCTCTCAAGAAACCAGCTTTTTGATTCATTAATTCTTTGTATATTATTTTTAGTTTCAATTGTGTTGACTTCTGCTCTAATCTTTACAATTTCCTCTCTTCTATGAGCTTTGGATTTAACTTGCTCTTCTTTTTCTAGAAGCATGAGATGAAGCATTAGGTTGTTTATTTGTGCTTGTTCTGTTTTCTTGATATGACAATTTATTGCTATGTATTTCCCTCTTAAGACCACTTTCATGGCATCCCATAGATTACAATATGTTGTTTCTGCATTTTCATTGAATTGTAGGTATTGCTTTATTTCTTCTTTAATTTAATCTGTAGCTCATTGGTTGTTCAAAAGGTTGTTATTTAATTTCCATGTATTTATGCAGGGTTTGCAATTTCTTTTGCTGTTAATTTCCAATTTCAGTGTGCTATGGTCAGATATTATGCATGGGATAATTCAATACCTTCGCAGTTACTTATGGGATAATATATGGTCTATTTTGGAGAATGTCCCATGTACAGCTGAGAAGAACGTGTATTTTGAGGTGGTTGCATGGAACACTCTAACTTCTACTAAGTCCAATTGCTCACAGGTATGATTCAGTTCCATTGTTTCTTTGCTAACTTTTTGTCTGATGTGATCTATATCTTTGTGACAATGGGGTGTTAAGGTCCCCTGTAATAATTGTGCTCTTGTGTATTTGATTTTCATTCCATTAGTATGTGTCTTATAAAGTTGGGTACTCCTCTATTTGGTGCATATATATTTAGAATTGTTAGTGCTTCCTCTTGAATTTTTCGATTAATGAGTATGTAGTGACCTTCTTTATCTCTTTTAGTCATATTAGGTTTGAAGTTCACATTGTCTGCAAATAGAATAGTTTTCTCTGCTTATTCTTGTTTCCTCTTGCACGGAATATTGTTTTCCATCCTTTGACTTCTAATCTATGAGTTTCCTTTTGGGTCGAATGTATTTCTTGTATACAGCATATTATGGGATCATGTTTTTTGATCCATTTTGTCAGGCTATTTCTTTTGATAGGCGAATTGAGGCCATTTACATTTATGGATATCACTGATATGTACTGTCTCAATTTTGTCATGTTATGTTCCAGTTGTTTGCTTTCTGCTTTTGTGCCTTGTTTAATTGCTTGTCCTACCTGGTAGTTACTTTCTGTTGTTATTCTGGAGACTGTGGTCATTTTTATCTCTATCTAGTATGTCTTTTAACACTCTTTCTAGGGTTGGTTTGGTGGATGTGACTTTCTTCAGTTGTTCTTTGTCATGGAAGTATCTTGTTTCTCCATTAAATTTGAATGGAAGTTTTTGTGGGTACATCAGTCTGGGTTGAAAGTTGTTTTCTTTCAGGGCTTGAAATATCACACTCCCATCTTGACTTGCATATTTTTGCTGAAAAGTCTGCTGTGATTCTAATGGGCTTTCCTTGATATGTGTGTTGTGTCTTTTCTCTAACAGTTTTTAGTATTCTGCTTTTATGCTGTCTGAGCATGTCTGAGATCTTATTATTACATATCTAGGTGTAGATTTATGTTGGTTGTGACTGTTTGGCATTCTATATGCCTGACTTATCTGCATATCAGATTTTTTTCCCCATGTTTGGGAAATTTTCTGCTATTACTTCTGTGGATAATTTCATTATGTCATTTGCATTGACTCCTGCAACTTCACTGATGCCTATTAATCTTTTATTTATTTATTTATTTTTTTGGTGCTGGGGATCTAACTCATGACCTCGTACTTGCTAGGCTTGTGCTTACCCCACTGAGCTAAATCCCCAGCCAATGCCTATTAATCTTATATTGTTGCTCTTGGCATCATCTTGAAGCTGCTGTATTGTCACTTCATGCTGCTTTGTTATTTTTAAAAGTTCCATCCTTTCATAATCACTAATTGCAGCCCTGTCCTCAAGTCTGAAATCCTATCCTCAGCTTCATTTAAATGGTGTTTCCAGCTTTGAATAGAACTTTTTGTTTCTTGGATGTCTCTTTGAGTTTGTTTCATGAATTCTGCCTTGTTTCCTGTATTGTTCATTTAAGGTTGCAATCAGTTTCCCATGTTGCTGTGCTTTTTTCTCTATTTCTTCTTTAGCTGTGCTCAGTAACTTCTTTACCAAGGTTTTTATTTCTATCTTTACATGGAGAGTAGTTCTATTTGATTTCCTCCATAGCCTCATGGAGTTGTTTTTTTTTATTTCACTAGCTAGCTTTACAGAGATTTCTGGTGTGTTATTTTGAAGTCCTCTATTTCAATGTTCCTGTACTTGCTCCTGGTGGACTAGATGTTTGAGATTCCACTTTGCTTTTTTGTTTTGCCATTTTCCCTTCTTGAGTTAATATTTGGTCTTTCAATCCCAGTAGTATCAACTGTTGGTAGTGTGTATCTTGGGGTGCTAATGGAGGTTGATGTTTATCTGATTGCTGAGTCCCTCAATGAATAGGTGGGCAGTCACCTGACTTCCCACTGCAGGACCTGTTGGGTGAGTCCTATATTCTTCCTGGGCTGACAAGCCTAGTAGTATTGATGTAGGTCAACTTTTAATTCCTGCTATTACTTTATCTTCAGGTTATTCCATGTCACCAAATCTGCCTGTCTATAGTGTTTGTGTTGGCTGAGGCTCTACTGTGTCTCTATTGTGTGCCTGTGTGTCTCATAAGCCCTTTTGATTTTCTCCAAGTTGGAGGAGTGCTTACTGGCACACTCTTCACTCTGCCTGATGTTCTCTGTGTGCAGGAAGGAGTCACCCACACTCTTGTCAGACTCACCAAGGTCTTACAGTTAGTTGGAGGGGGCTTTACTCTTGGCCCCATTTACTCATTGTATGCCTCTATCTTAGGGGCATATTCCCTACACTGACTGGAGCCTGCTGAGATCTTCTGTTTGGGTGAGGCAGTTACTGAATCTCCCTGCAAGCTAGCACAGTTAATCCACTGTAGTCCAAGGTTCTGGGAGAAAGGGTGGGAGCTGATCAACAGCAGTATTAGCTCCAAGAGGTTGGGAGTGTCCCTAAGGGGCCAGCAGATGTCCTGGGTCCAGGTGTCCACTGAGTGCGGGCCAAGGTCCCAGGGCAATGTGGCATTCCTCAGTGGCTACTGGAGTCCTGCAGGAAGTGCTCAGCTGCGCAGGCCAAGGTCTAAGGGCAGCATGTGTTCCCTGGGACCAGTGCCAGTTGCACAGAGAGGTAGTAGTGACACGGACCATGATCCCAGGGCAGCGTGGTGTTCCTCAGTGGCAGCTGGAGTCATGCAGGAAGCGCGCGGCTGCCTGTATTTTCCAAAGTGTGTCAGCTGTTACATTCACAGGGATCTATGAGTTTTGTAAGAGTTTTAAAATCTGTGTTATTATTTTGCTGACAGCCTAAAAATTAATGTAATCAGATTCAATATCATTAAAACTAAAACTGTGCTATAATGATGTTTCAAATCTTCTTTATGGTGTCTTTGTAATGTATTATTCTCTTGTAATCATTCTGTTTACCAATTTTAGAGGCTTACTATACATATTGGTTAATAGCCAGCTCCCAGCAGATTGGCTTACTTTAAAGTTAAAATGACACAATTCTTTCATATTCATTGTCATACTAACATTGATTTTTATTTACCTGTTATAAGGTAAAATTGTTAATTTCCATTTAAAAGATATGTGTGACTATAATTTTAGTTTTAAAAATTAACTTTAATTTTAGATTTTAAAAACAAATGACACAGCATGCAGAATGATGTTGCAGCCTAAGCATAAAATAACCAAGGTGGAGAAACCATGTAAACAACAGATTCATAACAAGGGACAGGGAAGTTAAATTATGTAGCTGTAGAAGTGAATTTGGCAGTATTTAAATAGAAAAAAATAGAAAATTTAGTCATCATACAGGACATGATAGGCAACTTAATTGACCAACATGACTACCTTTACTCTTTGAAATTTTTAATTGACAATTTAAGAATACCAGTGTTATACTTTAGAATGTCCTAGTAAATTGTTCTTTCAAAATAATAGATCACTATTTTATTCCTGTTCTGTACATTTTTAAATTAGAAAGTTTCTCATGAAAAAGACAGACTTATGGCTTCCCAAAATACTTTGAGTTTATAAGCATGCCAACGCAGGTCCTGCCTCCCACTATGGTGCTAACAGAGCTGAGCAGTGACTATTTCTTATGTAAAGTCTATTTCTCTCATGCACGCTTTCTACTTATATTTTATAAGCATTAGATTTTGTGTCTCCTGATCTGAAGCAACCCTACGTTTCCCCCAGAATATAGTAATACAGGTTCTGGTGAAAAGGGCTTATATCTTTACAGATTTTTTTGCATATTTATGAGTAGGAGGTTCTGGTGGGTGTGATTCCTCTGTGGGACACCATCACATTCTATTTTCTCTCTAATCATGGTTTAGTAGATTTTTATTTGAAGTCAAAATTAACCTTTAGGAGCTAGTCTCTGTGATTAATCCACTGCACTCGTAGTCTGGAACCTTTCCTAGTTAGAAGAACGCTTTGTGTTCTTTTCTTTCCTCAGACCTCCCTCAGTCACCAGCATAATGCCTGCCTCTCATCCTGTGTTTCTCTATTTATTACTTGTTATTCATTTTACCTCATTAATATTTAAAGATCATTGCAGTTGTTCACTGAAAAGGCCAACACTTACCACCAACCATGTAAAGGTGAGCGCGGACAAAATTTCTGAGGAGATATTTTGAAAGCATGGTATTTCCAAAGTCTGATTTATCTCTATTTCTATTGTATAGTTGTTTCTCCATTCATCCTGTATAACTATAAGAAAATATAAGGGGGAAAATACATGAATTTTTGAGAGTGTTTTTTATTGAGAGACAAAATCAGTTCTAGTATGAAAAGTCATCTATTTTCAAGGTATGGATTTGAAGTAAAGAGATAGATTCCCCATATCATCATCATTATATGAATGGCAGTATCGAGATCCAAGAAGCACAGAGTTCCGATGTACATGTACCCTCTGCATATACCACATACAGAATCACATGGTGCGTTCTGGTGTGGTACATTTGCTAAAACCAGTGGACTTTGATTTACTTATCATTATCACCTAAAGTCCATAGTAAACTATGTCATTAGGGTTCACTCTTAACCTTGTCCAATTCTTGGATTGGGACAAATGTATATGCCAGGTACTGACCGCTATGTTATCATACAGAATAATTCCATTTCCCTTAAAACTCTCCACCCTGTATCTATTCAATTTCCTTAATTCCTGCCAACTACTGATCTTTATACTGACTTCATATCTAATTACCTTCTTAGAGATTATAAACATTTCATCAACACAGAAATAATAGAGAAAAATGTATAGGAAAGTCTGAGGAAGTATGATGAATTCCTTTTAGTTTATTACGAGAAAAACATCCATATTATCTCCTTTGGGGAATTTGTATAAATACATATACTTTGGTGACTAAAATATAGCACCAAAAGAAAATTTATAAACCAAAAAATCTTATTCCAGTAACCAAAAATCTTATTTTAATACCTGTATAAGCCCCTCTCTGTCTATACATATATATTTGAAACATGAGGCTAGAGAACAAAACATTCCTACAAGAAAAGCACATTATCAAGAAATGAACACAAAATAATGAAAACTATAATGTATTTATTAAAAAATAAACTAAAAGAAATAAAGAAAATGATATAAACTTTGCAAAACCAATGCCAATCCCATAATTTAGAAAAAGAGAAACCTGTCCCTTCTTGTTAAAGTCATATAGCTTTAATAGTATTTCTAAATGGAGTAAATTGTATGCCATCATCATAATTTCTTGGCATGTTTCATACCACTATTAATACTATTTAATTTTATTCTAAGAATTATTTGTCTTACTTAAATTTACTTTAAGCAGACACTGATCTAGGTGCTAATCCCTGTGAAGATATGAGTGTTCTCAAATGTTCCTAAAACAAATAAATGCAAATCTTATCTATTAAAAGAAATTTTAAAAATAGAAATTAAACTATAGAATAAAATTTAAACTAATAAATTAGTAGCTAATTTTAAGTAAAAGAAAAAAAAGAACGAAAGATTTCAAAGAAAATGGTGTGTAAAGAAGATAAAAATACAGTGAAAAGCATTGCAGGAAAAACCAAAAAGAAAATATGTATTAAAACCTTATACTGAAAACTAAGAAAACAGATCCAGAATGGATATTAAGCATATCCTTATTGAAATTACTGAGTAAAGTCAATTATGCAGACATTCAGAAGGTTATTAGCTTTTTGATAGCAATTTTATGTCAGAAAATAGTGGAGTAGCATAGTTAATTTACTCTAGGAAAGAAAATGTGAGCCAAAATCTTTAAAGTTAGTACAATTATACTTTTAAAATGAAGAGTACAGAAGAATGTAAGGATCACCTAGGAACTTGGAAATACTGTTTCCATGGGTAGTTTCTGAGGATTCTCTAGTAGAATATACTTCAGACTGAACAAGCATTTACATAAAGACCAGTGTAAGTGTTGCAGTTATTATAAGGACTAGTAATTACTATTTATTTACAATAAAGATCAGATATAACTATCAAAAACAGAGGTTAAGATTAAAGGACTTCAGGTTATGGGAGAAGAGATAGGGGGAAAAAAACAAGTAACAAGCTAGACAAATGTGCTAAAAACAAGTACTTCACAGTCCTGAAAACTGACCAAAGGGAACAGCAAATTAAAAAACATTTCATCTTGAAAAATCTCAGGTTCATGCTAACATCAATTGGAGAAATTTTTATGCCTATAATCTTGTACTCTGAATAACTACTTTAAAGATAACAATATGCAATGTATTAATTATTGTTTTTCTCATATCACCTTGTTTTGAAATTTTGTTTTACCTTTTTTCCATAAAATAAAAAAGAGAAACCTCTAAAGCTTCAGTAAGGGCTGGGGATTTAGCTCAATGGTCTAAGTGCCTACCTGGCAAGAGCAAGCCTTGAGTTGGATCCCTGGTACCAAAAAAAGCTTCAGTAAATAAACATCATCAGCCTTTTTTGCTTTAGTGCTTTTATTCCTTTATTACCATAGTCATTTAAAAAATGTAGTTTTACCATCATTCATCTGGCTGCAAAACATAACAGCTTGCCTTACAAAAACAACAGACGCTTCTTGAATGGATACAATAGGACGTTCACCTTAGATGCTAATAACTTCATTTTGAACTTCCTGGCCTCCTGGGATGGGAGAGAATCAATTTTTGTTTTTTCTAGATTTCTTGATCTATGGTACTCTGTGTATAGAAGCACAAAATAGGATATCACAACAGCAGACCAGGTAGATATTTAACACGAAGATCTGGGAAATTAGAGTCATGGAATGGCTAAGTTCTCCACACATTCTGGAATGCTGAGAAAAATAATCATGTGAAGAAGACCCTATAGAGCCCAGGCAAAAAGAAAATTGCAAAAGACAATAGGTAAAATACTATTTCTGGTAGCATAAAGAAAAATTAAGCATCTAGGAATTAAATTCACCAAGGAATTTAAAAATATTTATAAAGAAACTAGAGAAAAAAAATTCCTGAAAAAGGAGATTGAAGGGGGCATCAGAAAATAGAAAAATGTCCCCAGCTCTTGGCAGAACCAATATTGTCAAAATGGCCAAATTTCCAAAACTGTCATACAGACTCAATGCAGTCTCAATCAAAATATCATCAGCATACTTTATATAGAAAAAACAACTTTATAATTCATATGGAATTTTTCTATTCATATATTTTTGTTTTTATTTTCATTTTTTTTGTTTTGGCTCTTTAAATTTTTGTCTTTTTTGTTGTTTTGCTTTTTCTCCTATTTTACCTACTTTTATTTACTTTCTTTTTTCTTTAATAGGACTTTATTTTAAATTCTCTCCATCTCAACTTTTTCTTTCTTTTTTCTTCAAATATTATTTCCATTTTTCTCTTTCCCTATGCTCTAACTTTATTAAAGTTATTAATATTATTTTTAAGCTCCATTAATTTTTAGCTGTTTAGTTTAATCCATGCTATTATTGCTGGTTTATTTTCTATTGTTAATACTGATGTAGCCACTGTTTTTATGACATCTTTCTTGTATGCCAATAACTAGTTTGTCCTTGTGTCTGTATTACTATTGCAGGTCTTTTTGTATCATTAAGGGCAGCTTTTAGTTGCTGTTTTTAACTGGCTATTATAGAATATTAATATCTGATTTGTATCTATGGTCTGTATTACTATTGCTAAATTGTATTGTTGATGGAGGCATAGTTGTTGAAATTATTTGGTTGTTATTGTATTTCAATATCTGATTTGTTTTGTGTATTGACAGTGTCGCTGATTTTTCTGAGTGGCGTCAGGGATTGTGTATCCAGAAACAGACGGCACCAGAGAACTCACAAATAAAAGCACAAAGAGGTATTCTTTCCAATAGATGCACACATCTCATTACAGAAACATGAGAAGGATGAAAAACAAGTTAACATAACTCCTTTGGTATTACTGAATTCATCAATAACTGAATGTAAATATCCAAATCAATGAAATGCCAAATAATTCAAATGACTGATCTATAAAATGATGAATGACTTTGAAAAGGACACAAAAGACAGTTGAATTAATTAAGGCAAACAGTACAGGAGATGAAGGAACAATACAACAAAGAAATAGAAATTCTGAAGGAAAAGCAAACAGAAATTCTAGTCATAAAAAGCACAATAAGTCAACTCAAACATTTGGTGGAAAACCTCATTAGTAAACATGATCAAGCAAAATATAGGAACGGAAGGCTTGACAAGTTGGAAGAATTGTTTCAAACAGACACTAAGAGGGAAAAAATCTCAGCAATTGTGAACAAAACGTCCAAGATTTGTGGGACACAGAAGACTAATCATAAATTCTTGGTGTAGAAGAAGGTACCAAGGTTCACACCAATGGCATGAGAAAAGTATTTAATGAATTTAACAGAAAACTTCTCAAATCTTGGGAATGATACAGAAATTCAGGTACAAGAATCACTCAGAGCCCCAAAAGGGGCAATCAAAAATCATATTCCCATATCACATTGTAGTTAACAGAGCAAAGCTATGGAACAAGGAGAGGATATTGAAAATAGGAAGTGAGAACCATCAAGTCACTTATATAGGCAAACCTATCAGAATAATTTCAGGTGACTTTGTAGAAACACAAAAGGCCAGAAGGGAATGGAATGATATATTTCAATACCCAGACCAAACAACCCCGAACATTACTATATACCCAGCGAAGCTGTCATTCAAAATTGACAAAGAAAGAAATTCATGACCACTATGACAGCAATGCTGCACATACTTAAAGAAATCTTACAAACAGAAGAAGATAAGCTACTGAAAAGAAGAAAAGAATCAAACATGAGAAAAACAAAATGGTGAGAATGAATACATGCCTTTTAATAATAACTCTTAATGTAAATTAAATTCTATTAGAATGCATGAACAGTAAGATTGAATTAAGAGCAAGACCTAGCTCTTTGTAGTGAAAATCACCCATATCATTAACAAAGACATACACAGACTGAAAATGAAAGAATGAAAAAACATTCACGTGAAACTCAAAAGTAAGCAAGAGTAACAATACTCCTATGACAAGCAGACTTCAAGACAAAATCAGCCAGATGAGACAACAAAGGCTACTGCATTGTGGTAAAAGGAACAATTCAGCAAAAAGATTGTACAGATATTTGCACTCAACATTACTGTGCTTAATTTCATCAAACCAACACTAGCTAACATAAAGTTCTCAATGTGATAATAGTGAGGGACTTA